GCCGCGGCGGCCGCGGCGGCGGCGGGAGGGGGTGGCCCCGACGCCTGCGTGGAAACTAACAGATGGTGCGTCGTCTTTGCAAACTGCTCACTTAAGCTACTCGGGGAAAATGAATCCCCTGCTGCTCCGACACGTTGGCGCCTTTTCTTCCGAACTGTTTTCTTCATACCTAAAGATGTGCATGAATGGCAGCCGTAGAGGATTCCTGCCTTGGCATCCCCTCCTGGATGCTCGAGGCAGGTATTCCTGCTTCCGTTCTCGCTCCTCTGCAGTCCACCCTGCAGGCAGCTTTCCGGGGAGCCTTCCAGGCAGGATGGGAGGTCGCCGCCCTGCTCAGACCTGGGCTTTCCTCCGCACGATAAGGCCTGAGTTCCCAGCACGGTCAGCAAGGTTGCGGGTCTGTTGTCCCTCCCTGACTTTCCAGCCACGCTCTTGTTCCTCAGGCACCCTTTGTCCTTTACCGGCCAAAGGCCTTTGCAATTGCTGTTCCCTCTGCCTGGCAGACCCCTCTAACACCCCGACCCAATTTTCCCACAGGTTCTCTCACATGATTCAGGAGTCGGAGAAAATGCTACCTTCTCAGAGAGGTCTTTTTCGATCGCTCTAACTAAAATAGGGTGCTCTAAAGTCACTCGCAACCCCTTTTGTTTTCTTCATGGGATCAATAATCACAGATGTATTTGCTTTAGTTTTTGTCTTAATTCCCACTAACATATCTGTTTTATTCACTGCTGTTTCCACCAGTGTCCAGTCCAGTGACTTGTTTATAAAGATGGTCAAGAAATATATATTGAATTTTTTTTTTTACATGAAGGGGATCTTGTTACTTTTACTTTTTACTGTTCAGTGATGTACTTTAAAAAAACGGTGTAGCAGTTTATCCTGGACACCTTTCCTTTCCATACAGAAATATAAAGATCTAGCTCGTTCTTTTTAATGACTCCGAGTTTTCATTGCATGGAGGTGCCATCATTTATTTAGTCTCTGATGGTGTAAATTGAGGGTGTAACCGGTTTTGTGATTACATGTCTCTTTACAAACTTGTTTTAGTATTTCCTAAGGATACAACTCTAGACTGTATGGAAAGGAGTGATAAAGATTTTTGAAATGTGAATTTAAGACCTATAAAGGAATTTAGAAATCACCTGGTCCAATTTATTTTGGTAAATGAAGAGATTACACAGCTAAGCTATTGATGACCTGAGTCTTGACTCCATGGCTACTAATTCTTAGAAAACTTTATTGTTTTATCTTTTCTGCATCGAATTACAATCCCCCTGGAACTGAGTCTTGTGTATGGTGTAAGGTAGGAGCATATTTTCATGCTATTAACATTTCATGGGATGCAGCTAAATATCATATAATGCATAGAACAGCCCCTCACGTTAAAGAGTTTCTCCAGTGTTTTCTGCTAGTTTTAGAGTTTCAGTTCTAAGCTTTAGGTCTGTGGTCTATTTTGAATTAATTCTTGTACATAGTGTGAAGTAAAAATCAAGGTTCACTTTTTTTTTGCACCTGAATATCCAAATAATATAGCACTATTTGTTGAAAAGACTCTTTTCTCCCTTGGATTTCTTTGACACCTCCATTGAAAATTGACTGTATATATGAAGGTCTGTTTCTGAGTGCCCTATTCTGTTCTGATCTTTATGTCTATCTTTACACCAATGTGACACCTTCTTGATTACTATAGCTTTATAATAGCTGTAAAATTGTTATAATAATTGTTAAAATTAGGTAATATAGATTTGTTCCTTTTTTCCAAAATTGTTTTGGCGATTCTGGATCCTTTGCATTTACATTTAAACTTTAGACTCTGCTTGCCAGTTCTAGCATTTTGATTGGATTGCACTGAATCTATAGGTTAATTTGGACATTGGGGAGACTATTGTAGCCTGATGCCATTGAACGCTGAAATCATATGTTGTTTATTTTTTTTTTAAATGGAGGTACTGGGAATTTAACCCAGGACCTCTGTGAATGCTAAGCATATGCTCTACCACTGAGCTATGCCTCCATCCCCCTGAAATCATATATTTTGTTTGTTTATTTGAAATCATATATTGTTAATCAATAACTCTTCTTCTGACTCTGGGCTCATTAAACCACTAGATACGTAGTATGTACCCTGGGAGAGAATGCAGTAATTAGAGGATGTGAATGTTTAGTCCTTTCTGAAAATAATTTTTGCTGTAAAATAATAAGCCGGCATTTTATTTGCAGCATCATTTTTTTTTTGTGAGCTTGATTAATATGTTTCCCTAGAGCAATAGTTAGTGTCACTCACTCATACTCTAAGTCAGATTCTGTATTTGCAATAATGAAATTGTATCCTGGGTGGTGGTGATTTCTCCAGTTTACTGCTGCCTTGGGGCAAGCATGCATACTCAGGTCACATCCTGCCACCTTTTGGCCAGCTGTCTTGGAAAATGAAGACCACTAGCGTTCACTGAGGACTTCCCAAGGATGGGTCATTTGTACTCATACTGTGACTCCAGAGCCTTTGCTTGAATCACCACCCTGTGAAGCCTTTGATAAATCATTTGAAAAGCAGAATTTGCCATTTGCTAACTCTTCCACTTTTCAATACAGAATTGGTTCAAGGTGTCCTGAGTTCAGTCAGTACATTTAAATTTCTATAAGTCTTTGCAGTTTTTATATATGCTTTCATATATGATCCATTTAATTCTTTTTCCTGTGTAAAATGTACTTTCATAGGATTCATTTAATTCTATCTGTTCATTCTCTGCCCCATCAAAATTCATTGTTGGTGATTTTTCCTGACCTTCTATTGGCAGGCTAAAAGTGAGTTTTGAAAAAAGAAGATGAAAGAGAGATGCAGTCCCTGTCTTCCATACAGGCAGTTGCTGGTGTCTGTCACCCTAGAACTGGTTTAGAGAGACAGCCATGAGTCTATCTCCTTGACTTAGTGGAGAAGGAATTTGAAATTCCTTGGGAACATTACGTGTTGCTCCTAAAATTTAGTGCATCTGTAAATGTCTTTTCATTCTTTGAATCAAATGGAGGGTAAGAGAAGGGAAGTATACAATACTGGGATACACGTACAAAGACTCTTACTTTTGGCCAGAAAGTGAGGAGAATTAAATTCTCTGTTAAAATGTATGAGAATTAAAATGAAGGAAGTTAGTGCCTCAGTCCTAGGGTGGATGGAAGATAGTAGCTGGGTTATTGAAGGTGATTACCAGTCCTGGACAGGGTATCCATGCTTACTACTCCTGAGGTGTGTTCATTTGTTTATGGAAGTAAATTGATGTGAGCCTGGTACAATGCTGGAAATTGTGGAGCCATACAAGGGCAAGTCAGAGATGGTCCTTGCCTTAATGGGGAAAAATATAACATTTACAAATGAAAGTATCATTCATGTATCTCTTGTGCTTGTAACTACAGTTTCTGGTAGGTGCTTGATACATGCTGATCTCAACATAATTTGTTGAAATCATTTGTGTGGTAAGGATGGAACAGATAAAGCTCAAGCTTAAATACAGAAATGGAAGGAAGTGTTTTACAGGTGGAAAGAACAGCAAGGGCAAAGACACAATGAGAGGAAAATACAGGCTTTGTATAGAAACATTCAGTGACTTTGGTGGCAATGTGGAAGGCCATAAAGCAAGTAGTGAGAAGTAATATTATGGAAAAGTAGGTTGGGAATTATTGAGACACCTGAATTAATTCAACTGATTTGAAAGTGTGTATTTATTTTTAAATAATGCCCCAATCATGTTGACTGTGATGTTAGTATTTCCCTTATTATAGGGTAGGCCGATTGTGGAATTAAATGGGAGATGGATGGTGGGGGGTGGGGTGGGGGGAGATACTGCAGGAAGGTACAAGAAATGGAGAATGAAGGAAATTGCTCAAAACTGTCTTTGTTCTTCAAAAGCAAAGATATATTTAGAAGGATATTTAGAAGGAAGTACCACAATTTAACATTTTTCATTAATTAGAAAACTCTAATTTGTAATTAATTTAACAAATAATGAAAACATACAACCCTCTCCCCTCCAGAAAAAAACCCTCCTTTAGTTACTCCACCAAACAGCAGGTGTCACCATCACTCGGGAACTGGCTAGAAAAGCCGACTTTTAGACCCCAGTCCAGACCCACCGAATCAAAACGTGCACTTAACGTGATGGTCAGGTGACTACGTGCACGTTACAGTCTGAGAAGCCCTGCTGTAACCCATTGTATTTTAGAGCCAATATTTTGCTGAACAAAAGTCCTAGCTGGTGCCGCCGTTTCTGGCGTCTTTCACCAGGGGGCAGTAGCCCTCTCACTTCCTCTGGGTTTCAGCCCCCTCGTCCAGGCCGGAGTTAAGCTCCGACCCCAGATCCGGGTGGGCAGGGCTACGGTGGGGGCGGGTCTGCCCAATGGGCTCTCCCGGGAGGGGGGCGGGGCTCTACTTCAGCCGCGCCTCGGGCCGCAGGCGCGGTGCGCTCCCCCGGCTCAGTATGTGGCGTGTTCCCGGTCTGCTGTGCGTGCGCGTTGCAAGGGGGAGCAAGCTCTCTGGACCTTGGAACAGGCCTGCCGCCTTCATGTCCACTCTGCTCATCAATCAGCCCCAGTATGCTTGGCTGAAGGAGCTGGGGCTCCGCGAGGAAAACGAGGGCGTGTATAATGGCAGCTGGGGAGGCCGGGGAGAGGTATGCGGGAGTCCCGGGAAATCTCTGCGGCCTCACTTCTCTCCGGGAGGCCGGGCGGGCACTGCCCCTCTCCAGTCCCCGCGCACGCTGTCGGCGGTGGTACTGAGTGGGAAGCTTTAAAGCTCTACAGTAGAAGTTTTCTCATGTATACTGTCTTAAAAATACCGTTAGATTTTAGGGCCCGTGGGCTGTGGAGTATCGGTCACTTTGGAGCTGGTTGGGGTTAAACTTCCTACGCATACTTAAAACCGTATGGCATAGTTAAACACTCTGTCTATGGTGAGAAATGCCACACGCTTAGCGGTGGAAATTACCTGAATTTTGTGCTTGACTGTGGCTCCTTATATGTGACGTGGATAGTTTTACATATTTTCCGAAATCCTTTGGAGTGCAAGTTCGGACTTGCTGAAATTGTGTCATGTTTTCGTTGAGCTCAGCTTCTTTGAGGGCCAAGTTTTCAGCATTTCTCTATTTCCAGAGCCTCACTCCATGCCTGACACCCAGTTAATGTTCAGTATGATGTTTTATAGAATACAGTGGAAAGGTAAGGTTTTTATCGCCGAAATTTTTTGGGAGCCGCATACAGAAGAAAGCTTTTGATGAGAAAATGTTATGTAATACCGAACATTTTCTTGAATGCACCTGCCTTGTTAGAAGAAACACATCTTTTGGTTATCTGTGATTGCAGGAGATGCGAGTGGTTTTTCATTGGTTCCCAAATTTCTGCCTCCCTCATTAGTGGTTTCATCTTGTTTTTCTTGTGTCATCAATCCTTAGGTTCATGGATACCTCTCCTGAAGTTCTTTTTAAAGCTACACCTGGACTTTTTCTTTCTAATTGACCTCTCCAGTTTGTGTGGACAGGTGGGGGAGGGGCCAGGGCCCCTCTGTGGGACCCCCATGGCCATCCATCATATTGTCCCTCAATCCTCCACCTCCCCCCTCCTCCCAGATTGCTGCACTTTATTAATAAAGTCTGGACTTAATAAATTCATATAGATGTTTAACTTAAAAACAAACAAAACCACAGGTCTTTCCCATAATTGTCTGGCCTTGGCCATTTCACCTCTGACCAGAGGTGGGTAGAGTAAGAGACAGAGGGAGTAAGTTAAACTCACAACTTTGGTCTGTTTTTAATGGAAAAAGAGGCAAAACAACAGGTTACATTTAGGCTTTTGTTTGTATTCTAATATTTAGATGGCAAAGGTGAGTTTTGTAGTATAGGTGGTTCTGGATGTTCAGGTCAGAAATGAAAGAGCTCTGTAGACTTGCTTATTTGAAACAAGTTAATGTAAAGGTTCTGAGCTTAGGTATTGTATCTTAATCTCCCCCCCACCCCCACTCCTTTTCTTCTTCCCCCATTTGTTCTGCTCCCCGAATTTGGGATTACATTTTTTATTTATGGTGGTCATCTTTTTTGTTTTAAGGTTATCACCACCTATTGTCCTGCTAACAATGAGCCGATAGCAAGAGTCAGACAGGTAAGGTTTTTGTTTTGTTTTGTTTTTGTTTTTGTTTTTAATGCAAGCAAACTGTCCAGTTTGTGCTAGTGATCATGAGTGATACAAAGTCAAAGAATAATGTTTCTTTTTAATTTAACATTTAAGAATGTCAGAGAGAGACTTTCCACTCATTGTGGGAGGAGATGCACTAGAAAAGGAGAACCCTAGAGGGGACCAGGGAGGGATCCATTGAAGGCCATGCATCTGGATCACCTGGGGATTTATGTCTGACCTCTCAAATCTGGGTTGGAGCCTGATGTTCTGAATTTCTAATGCACCTTAAGTACTGCTCCCCGATGAAGCTCAGGGACTTTGCTTTGAGAAACAATTTCTACAAACGCACAGGTTCTAACTTACTGAGTTCAGCAAGTTTTTGGAAGCGTAAGCTGTGAAAATCATTCTAAACCATGAATCCTAGGGTCACCTGGAGATTGTTCAATTCTTTTCCAAAAATAATCTCTATGTTGTTAGAAGGAGATCATTACTGCCCTTTCCTTTTCTCTTTGTCTTCCTCTGAATCTTTATTTAGGCCAGCATGGCTGACTATGAAGAAACTGTAAAGAAAGCAAGAGAAGCATGGAGAATCTGGGCAGATGTAAGTATGGAGGCCAGGGCACGGTTACCTCCTGTAATTACCACGAGACACAGAGACATTTGATGAGTAGGCCAGTGCCCCTGTGCTGAAACGGCTCCTTCGGGGCTCAGACCATCTCCTCTGCTGTAGTCCTAAATTGTCCCTTTTCCATATTTGGCCCTCAGGAACTGGGCAATTTTAAATGGAATAGAACTCTCTGCTGAGATAACATAAACTCAGTCTATGAGTACTCTATTCTCCAACTGGAGTTACTCGAATTTATAATTAGCAAAGAGGAAGGAATATCTATGCTAAAAATACCCATCTGCGCCATCTCCCTCCCCCTGCCAGTGTTACTGGGGGGAGGAGGGGAGGGGATTTTAGTGGTAGGTCGACATTCCTGATTCAAAGGGCAGTGCAGGCAGCGGCAGCTCTTTCACAGGGCGAAGGCTCCAGTTCCTCCACAGTCGGATGAGGCTTTGAGGCAGATTCTGCCTTCTCTGTCTCTGTTTCCAACGAGGGTTGTGAATGCAAGTGTAGGAGCTGTTTCTGGAGTTGGGCTGGGCCATGCTGAGCTGGCACTGCAAGAGCAGGCTCTGGAGGAAGGGAGAATAAAGAACTGGCTTAGTCTGGATCTCCCAGTCTCCCCTTACCTCCCCCACCCTGAGTTTCAGATCTCCTACCAAAGATTCTAACTAAGCCTGAGGCTGTAGGAATACCCTGGATGGTTAACCCAGCTCTGCCCCTGGGTAGATTGATTCACTTTAGAGTGCTTTGTCTTGTAAAATGGGGAGACCGGATGTGCTTACCTCTCAGTTGACCTGAGGGTTAAATGAATGCATTTAAAGTGCTTACGGGAGAATCAGGCAGGGGTAAACCTCTGTACCTGTCAGTTTGTTATGTAAAACCACACGCTGGCGGGTTTGGGACTGCTGACCCAGTGTTTTCTCTGAATCGGTGATTGCTATGGGACTTGAGGAGGGGTAGATGCTCCAGGAGAGCCCTGGGTTGGATGCAGAGTTATCTGCCAAGTTGTTTGCCCCTGTGCAAAGCTGGAAGAACATCTTTACTTTCACTAATTCTGGCTATAAGTTAGGCTCAGGGTTCCATTATATACAATCAAAAATATTCTTGAACAAAGGAAATAATGATCTAAGAAGTTATCTCTGGTGGTAGCTCTGTCCTGGTACAGGTCCCCTTTCTGAGTTCTTTTAGGCTATTAAGGAGGAGTTAGAAAGCTTCCCTGAGGCTGCTGGGCCTTGATTGCCTTTAGCTCAAAATAACACCAAAGAACATACCAAACTGGCACATTCTCAGGTGGCTTATTCTGAACCCTATCCACGAAAAGAGTTCTGTACTCTCCGTCAGTCTTACAAGTTTCCCTTATTAATAACACCCTGCATTAGTGTGGTACCTATTTCTGCCCCTCTGCATCCTCTGTGTGTCATCATTTTTCCTCTCCATTTCTGGTGAGGAAGAGCTAGGCTTTCTTTCCTCTCTTGATGGCAGAGAACTGTGAATGGGCCCTCTGTGGCTGAACAGAGGAATACCAGAACCCTGGTAGCTCTCTGACATGGGTGTCTTTGTAATAGTTCCCCAAGGTCTCATGGTTCCCTCCTCGTGGCTGTCTTTGATGCTTATTCCAGACCAAATTTCAGGGTGAATTGTGCAGGGATGAACGCAAGGTCTCTCGTTGCCCATCTCAGGGGTGTCTGAGGTTACTGATGCCCTGTCATGCTGGGATTGATCAAGCCCGCACGGAGAATGTGGCTGTCTTCCCGGTGTCCTGCTCCCCCTTCATATCTTTTGCCTCATACCTAATCCTGGCTTTCTCATCTCTGGCTCCTCCTAGTAGTCATCTTGGAAGCTGGAGGAAAATAAAATGCCAGGTTGGAGTGGTGTGGGATGTTGAGTGGTGATTCTAATGTATAGTCAGAGCTAAGACTCAATCAATTACCAAGTCTTGAACATTTTGAATTATATTTATCGCTTGCTATTTTTGTGGTCCAGACAGCTACCATCTCTTGTCTGGCCTAATGGTTTTCCTGCCTGAGTCTTTCCTCCATCTGATCGATTTTCTATACCACATCTAGAGTGGTATTTTAAAATGCAGTCTGTGATTTTCACTTCACTATATAAAGCCTTTTAGTGATTTCCCCACTGCTCTTTGAATCCTTTACATGGTCCTTTGCATTGTGGCCCCTGCTTTCTTCTCTGCCTCTTTAAGCTTTATAGTTTTCCAAACTCACCGCATGCTCTTGACTTTTAGCCTTTGCATGTGTTATACTCCCTGATCTGTAATTTTCTTCTACTTTCTCTACCTTTTCAGCTGGCAAACACCAATCCTGCTTTAGGTCTTAGGTCTCAACTCTAAACTTCTTTAAAAAGCCTCCTTCCTCCTCACCTCCTTTTCCCCGAGTAACGCCAGATTAGTACTCGCAGGTGGTCCAGTTGTACAGTCTGGCTCCTCCATCACGGCACTTAACCACCTGAGATCATAATCTCCTGTGTCGTGTCCCTGTCACCCCCACTGGACTGTCAGCTCCATGAGGCATGAATTGTAGCTGCCTTGTTTCCTTTGTGTCCCTGGGATTAGCATGATACCTGATGCATAGAAAGTGTGCAGTAAGTGTTGGTAGAAAGACTAATAGAATAAATATGTTCGGGATGGGAGGTTAAAGGCCATGTGTGCTGTATTGGCCATTCTCAGTTGAAATTAACCAATTTGCTAAGCTTTTAAATGCATAGGCTAAATTCAACTGAAACATTATTAAACCCATTCCATGCATTAGAAAATGTATAAGATTTGCACTGCATCACTTAATGTTACAATTTTTATTGATCATAAAAATGGCAAATGTTGCAGACATAAAATGTGGGGAATGCAAGTCTGTTATAATTCCATTTCCCAGAAATTACAGCTGTTAACATCTGGTATATTCCTTTAATTTTAAGCAAAAGTTTGTTTACAGTATGCATTATTTTATTTTTTTTGTTGACCTGTTATATTTCTTAAACGTTTTTCCTTATAAATCTATCTTACTCTTTTTAGAGAGTGTCAGATATTCCATTTTATGGCTGTCCTGTAATTAACCATAGACTGATGGACATTTAAATGGTTTCTCTTTTTCTCCACTGGAAACAGCACTGCAGTAAATGCTACTGAGCCTATACTTTTGCACACTTACATATATGCTCAAGTTCCAGAAGTAGAACTGCCTATTCAAAGGGTAGGGGCATTTTAAATGTAAATAGAATCCTAAGCTACCCTCCAGAAAAGCCATCCTAAGACATTTGAGATGTATTTGAGAAGGAGAGCCAAGAAGAGCCCTGAGCCCCCAGTCAAGCTCTGGGAGCCCCTCTCTGTGGGGGGGTCAGGGGTGGGGGACAGGCGCCAGCCTCGGGAGTAGGAATGGTATTGCTAGTTGCTTTCTGAAAGAAAGGTGGAATTAAAGGAAGAGCTGCAAAGGCAAAAAGGGGTGATATCATAGTTGGTGAAAGTATGTCTCCATTCTTTCATCACATCTCAAACTTAATATGGCCCAACCTGTACTCTGCACCTCCAAAAAAATCTGGACTCATCTTCCGAGTAATCTTCATCCCTGTGATTCTACTTCCATCTACCTAGCTATTCAAGCCAGAGATCTGGGAGTCATCCTTAATTCTTTCATTTCCCATACCTGTTCCCTTAGTGAGTTCTGTCCTACCAACAAAATAGATCCTGAATCTACTTTTTGTCTCTCTTGCTTCAATCTTAAGGCCAAGTCACCATTATCTTTTGCCTCGGTTACTAGAATGTGTCCTTAGTTGGTCTTCCTGCTTCTACTCTTTTCTTCTCCAGTTTATTCTCCACACATTAGGCAGTGATCTTATAAAATAAGGTCAAGCAAGTCATCTTACTTTGCTTCTTAAAAACTATAAGATTTAGCATTGTACCTGGAATAAGATCCAGACTCTTTAAAGCGCCTCCTAGCTGTGGGCATGGTGTCCTTCCCAATCAGCTCCTCAAATATGACACTCTTTTATTTTCCATGGATCTCTTAGACTGTTTTTGCCCCCGGTGTAGAATATTCCTATGGTTGACGATAAAGTTAACATACCCAATTATCCTCCAAGCCTGCTATTCTGTCTGCCTCAGAACCATGTTTATTTCCTTGGTCTTTATAACCCTTGTGGCAATTTGTAATTCTTTATTGTCCTTTTCCCCTCTTATTAGTGCCACGAATGCCACTAGAGAATAGTTACTAGCTTCACAAATGCCTCACTTATTTTAGCCCCAGTGTGTGGCAGTACTGTTGTTCTCAGAAAGTATTTGGTGAGTGAGTGGTATGATTTGAATGGATTATGGAATACCAGCTTTATAAGTAAACAGTGTATTGTTTGGACATGAAATCAGTTTGACCCATATGAAAACATCACTGGCAATCATAAAGGCTTACAGGTATGTAAGGTATTCTGAGCTTTCTGGAATCACTCCAAAAAGTTGCGTTCAATCTGAATTTCTCTCTGTACTTGGCACAGTCCCTTGTTCACAAAAAAATGTATCATCTGAATATTTTCCAGGTCTGCTGTATGGATTTTAGAGCCTGCCACGTCACCCTGTTGTTGGGATCAAAGCAGTTGTCTTTGAAGTGCTTGTACTGTTCTTTTACAGCACATTTATCTAATACTGTGTTACATGTGCAGGTTTACACTTTGAATCAGACACTAAAATTCCATTCTTTTCTTAGATTCCTGCTCCAAAGCGAGGAGAAGTAGTGAGACAGATTGGTGATGCCTTGCGGGAGAAGATCCAAGTACTAGGAAGCTTGGTAAAGCATTTTGTACTTCATGTCCATAAAATCCTTTGAGTGGGGAATGAGGCTATCTTGTACTTCTGTGTATAAGATTGTGATTTTTAAGAAAAGTGATTTATATATTGCAAAAATCTTTAGAGGAAAGATTAAAAAGATGAACATTAAAAAGTGAAGACAATTCTTGGGTTTTAAAATTCTTTTAGAAAAATATGAACAGACTTTCTGAAGTATATTTATTACCTTCACAAAGCAGAAACAAATGTGTTGCTTTCCCCACCATAAATTTAATGTGTAAAGCATGAATTTTGTTGGAAAAAAAGCTGCTTGGTCTTTTGTGTTTTTAGGTGTCATTGGAGATGGGGAAGATCTTAGTGGAAGGTGTGGGAGAAGTTCAGGAGTACGTGGATATTTGTGATTATGCCGTGGGCTTATCACGGATGATCGGGGGACCCATCCTGCCGTCTGAAAGTAAGCAAGGAAGTCAGTTCAGCTAAGAGTTTTGTATTCTGATACAGAGAGCTCCAAAAATTTCTCTGATCCACACGGAGCTCCTATGAGGAGCAGAGGCCTCATGGATATCGTTATGGTTTATGAGACTGTGGTGATAACAGCTTTGGTTGTGTGCTAATTAATACACCAGTATCCCACAGCTGTGTGGAATGATCAGCTACAAGGCATCTGGAATCCCCACTTGGTCTGATGCCCCTTTGGGCTGAAAATGAGGGTCCAGACTTAGTGCTTACTTAGCTGACAGGCATTTAAGTAACGTGCTTAAGAATGTTCCACACTTTCCCTGTCCTCAGGACCCGGCCACGTGCTCGTTGAACAGTGGAACCCTGTAGGCCTGGTCGGAGTCATCACTGCGTTCAACTTCCCTGTGGCGGTGTATGGCTGGAACAATGCCATTGCCATGATCTGTGGGAATGCCTGCCTTTGGTAAGAACGGCTCACTGTCTTACCCAGCAGTTAGATGGTAAAGGTAGCCGTTTTCAGGTACTGCTCAAAATACTGTAAATGTATCGAAGTGTTTTCTACTACTCTGCTCTTCCATATTAAGTCAACACCTGCTAGTTGTGAAATGTAGATTTTAAATTATTAGATATTTTGTTATTGGTAAAATTTATTTTTTTGACTTGTTTTTTTAACACAGCCTTGTCCCCTATTCCTCCCAGTTGTTTTTACCGCAAGATGGTTACTGTAATTCAGTTCTGACACTTAACTGCCTGGTCTTAGTGTCAGGCTCCACCTGTTTAAGGGCTCAGTCCTCCACAAGACTGCCCCCACGTTATATGCAAAGTGCCAGTGTCCTCAGGTTTCCAGGACATCTGCAGTTCTGACCAGCAATCTGCAGATGAGGAGGTTCCTGTCAGCCCTTGTTTCAGTAATCCATTAGCATTATGCACAGAACTCAAGAAAGCACAGTACTCAATGACTGCAGTTTCGTTATGAAGGACACATAGAGCATGGTCTAGACGGGTCTCAGACGCAGAGCTTCCTGCCCTCTGTGAGGTCAGCACACATCCCCTTCCCAACCAGGAAGCTCCACTGAGCTTTGGTGTCCACAGTTTTTATGGGGTTTTATTACATAGGCATGATTGATTAAATTATTATATATGTGATTGAACTCAGTCTCCATCCCTTCTCCCCTCCTGTCTCCATGGTTGATCTTTCTAGTGACCAGTCCTCATCCTGACCCACTAGTGACCTCCTTAGCATAACAAAAACCCTTCTATCAGGAAATTTGAGGGGTTTTCATGTTATGTGCCAGAAACTGGGAGCGACGATTCAGATACATTCTTTATTATAGTACACTTCACAAACAGAAAACTAAGTGAACAAGTAGGAGGAAAAGAAGAACTTGTGATACAAGTCATAACCTTCTTTTTAAAATTCTTTTTTTTAAGTTCAATAAAAATTTGATAGTGAATTCCCAAGTGATTCTGAGTCACTTGGCCAATGTTCCCATTGATATATTAAATGTTACATCTCTATAAAATATATGATAGTAAAAGTTAGCTAGAAAGATATCAGTGTTTTATAGATGACAAAACAGTTGTTTGCTTTTAGCTTTCATGTTCAGTAAGGGAACGTAGATTAGGAAAACCAGGAGAGTTGTCCGCCCATTTTGCGTCTGTCACACTTATATGTACTGATCTCAAGGCTGTACTCAGTTGAAGGTACTCAAAGACTGTGTAAAAAGCAAGGCATAGTTGGGAGGATTAATGATTTGGCACCATGTTTCCAAAGGCTAGTTGTACAATTTTCCTCAGCCCTCTGACCCTTCCAGTGAAAGTATGTGTTGATTGATTTCTGTTTCACTCATTTCCCATCAGTGACAGAGGTTAATGTAACAGCTCCTGTGATTGGTGCAGCAAGCAGGTTCGAAATTGTTTGATGCCATTTTTATATTTGAAAGTTTTACAGCCCCGTGGGTCTGAGACACCAAGCTGAAGGATAGATTTCTACTTCAGTTACTAGGCTCAGTTGCTTAATTTGAAGGAACTTGTTCTCACAAAGTCTTTTGCTTCTGCTTGAAAATAAAAGATATTGATGATTTCCACCCAATTAAGCTGCCTTTTTTTTTTTTTTTTGACCCTTACAAGGAAAGGAGCTCCAACAACTTCCCTCATTAGTGTAGCCGTTACAAAGTAAGTATATGTGGCTTTTTTTGTGTGTGTGGGTAGGGAAGAATCTGAAAAGGGTGACTGATAGGCACTGGATTTTTAATCTGATGTGGAAGTGTCGTTTTTATTTTAGCATGGGTTTTGGACAAACTTTTGGTTGTAATAACATTTTTATATCATTATGCAGTTTATAGAACTTTTTCAGAACCATATCATTTAAGTCTTGGGAAATATGCTAGATATTGATATATATGTTGAACCTGAACTCTTAAAACATTTTTTGTCACTTGGAAAATAAAAACAAATCCAGTAGACAGGAAATAGTTTTACAATTTAGGGGCTATATGCTATAACTATTGAGTATGTCAGTGGTTTTGATTTCCGCTCATCTGATACATTTATTACTTTTGTCTAATAGCCAGCAAAACAGAGAGAAATTGTTATTATACTGTTCCACTGATTCTTCTAACACTCTGAAATGCACTTCATCTTTTGGTTAAAAAATTATTGTTTATTCATATTTGGGAACTTGACAACTCTGGTTAGGTCATAAAATCAATGTTATTAATTTATCATTCCAGAATTTAGACAATGTTTAGAAGAGGGTGCCTTTCCATGTAGGGGGATGAGGGGCCCTGATATTCCACTGGTTGCATGAGCTGCATTCTCTGATTTAACAATCATTAGTAGAGAGCTTGTGTAAGAAGCTCCTTAATGTTGGGAGATCATTTAGGAATACTGACTGACGAATTGAAATTCGGCTGAAGAAGAGAGTAATGTATGTTAGTAGTTAATTGAAAGGATACGTGACGTTGAGAAAACAATATCCTTCAAGGCAGAGGTGTTCAAATTAAATATTAAATAGAACTCTGATAAACAAAACACATGAAAATGATAAGATTCCACAGGCCGTTTTTAAAAATAAGCCTTTCAAAGAACTGTGGTTGTAGTGAACTGACTTGCCAGTTGCTTTTCAATAACTGGTTCAGTTATTGTTACTTTTGATTCTGTTTCAAATGTTCTAAAGCTTGAGCTTTTAAATATTTATTTGCTTTAAACCTTTGAAGGGCCTGAGGCATTCATATAGGAACATGGCTGATTTTTTAGGTAATTGAGAATATTATCTGATACTGTAATGGAAGACAGTAAGTAAAATAATTCTAAATTGTGCCAGAATTAACCAATGTCCCCTGGGAGTTCTTAAATTCAACTAAAATTCAGACTCATAAGATGAACACGTTTCATGCCTCTGTCATTTATTTTGCATGCCATTTTCTTCTTAAGATTTTTTGGGGGAAGGAAAAAAAAGGTTCTCCTTTTTAGTGTTGGAAAACCTCATCTCTTATTTTGAGGTGAAATCCAGGCCTGCCTATTTGAGGGATGAGAGAGAAAGTTGAAAAACGAAAGTCAGGTGGTTGGAATTTATTGCTGTTTTCAAAAAGTGATAAGAAATTAAATTGCTCCCTTCCTTGACTGCTATTTCTTTTCTAGGATAGTGGCCAAGGTTCTGGAGGACAACAAGCTGCCTGGTGCGATTTGTTCCTTGACTTGTGGTGGAGCGGATATCGGGTAGGTCAGGGCCCTGGGTTGATCGGCTACAATCATCTTTACTAGAATTTCAAAACCCCATATAGCTAAGGAGGTGAGAACAGTTTTTGGAATTGTTATTTTGTGGATCTCATTAGGCTTTATTGGTGTGTAGCCTCTGTTGGAGCATGAGTAAGAACTGTCTTTTTCATTGCCCAGAACTACTATCGTAATGTGTTTATATACTAAAATGACGACCTGCTATGCCTGTGGGCAGTCCCTGGCTTCCTGATGCTTGATTTATAAATGTGCTCACTTACAAAGCAAAGCTGTGGAATTGTGCTCTGGTGGCTCACTCTCCACCAAGAACCTAGCCTATTCTCTGGGTTCTTCAACTGACCAAAAAAGGGAACCCTGGAAACACAGCTTCTAAGTTATATTTGTTTTTTAAAAATTGCCATGTAATTCACATACCATAAAGTTCTCTCTTAAAAAATGTATAATTAAAAAGCAGAAATTGACACAATATTGTAAACTGACTATATTTCAATAATAAAATTTTTTTAAATTCCCAAAATTAAAAAAAAAGTACAATTCAGTGGTTTGTAGAATAGTCACAGTGTTGTGCAACTATCATCATTACCTTATCCCAAAACATTGTCGTTACCTCCAAAAGGAACCTTGTACCTCTTAGCAGTCCCCCCCTCCCCCCACTTCTGGCAACCAGGAATCTCCTTTGTATCTTTATGGATTTTCCTATTCAGGAAATTTCAATGTAAATGGAATCATATAACATGTGACCCTTGTGTCTAGCTTCTTTCATTTTGCAAAATGTCACAACATTTTTTAAGCTGGAACGGACTGTAATTTCTCTGAACTGTGGTGAAAGCTGGTTCTGCCAGCCTAGACTTTGATTGGGTGACATTTCATAGGATTCAGGTCTTAGAACTCTTACTGGTGTGGTTAAAATGTTAAGTCTCTCTCCAGCACTTGTACCATACTATTGTACTTACTGGGCAATCTCAAAAAGGAGTAATAAATGGCTCCTTTTTGTTCTTTGTTTTTTTTTTTTTTAGATAAATGAGAAAATAGAAAATATAGCTCCCACATAAAGAGTGCATAGTGAAGTATTATCTGAATGTCATTTAAAACACGGTCTAATCCTTGACCCACTCTGTTCTTGTACTTCGGGCACCCAGTCCTTCGTGTTGGCCTTGGAATAGCTCAGATAATAGCAGTGTGTGCAGGAGTGCTGTACACAGCAGCCACCTTGAGCGTCAGTGCTCATGCGTGCTGGGATGACTTGAGGAGGACTACCTGCGTAGTCTCACCCCGCAGTTCCAGCCCTGCGTTACTCTAATGCTGTGGCTGCCTTGCTTGGCCCACCCCTTTGAAGCACTGGACTGTGAGCAAGGAGGCTCAGATCAATAGTGTCTGGTCTCCATTCCTGAGAAACAACTGGAAATCCTAGCACAGCTTTTGTAAGTCAGCTTCCATGAAGGTTACTTAGGATATTTCCCTACAGTCTTTAACTTTAGGAATTAGTTTTAAGAGTCTGCAAAGTAACTGGGATGCTCATCAAGGAATTGCTGAAGTCATACTGACCAGTGACCTATCAGTACAGAAAGGAACGTCTTCCTTGACAGCATCCTTGAGGTGATTGCTGTTTATGGAGAGCTCGCAGAACGGGTTAGCTTGTTCCACTGTATGGTTCTTGTGAAAATCTAATTCGTTTTCATGAAGACCTTCCCTTGGGACGGATCCTTGTGTCCTTGACTGACCGCCTTTCCGTGACAAGGGCTATGTCATAGTTTTCTGGCAGGTACCATCAGGTGCTGACATTGCTGGGTCTCTCTGCTTGGGTGACCATGTCTGTTCCTCTGCAGCACAGCAATGGCCAAAGATGAGCGGGTGAACCTGCTGTCCTTCACCGGGAGCACCCAGGTGGGAAAACAGGTGGCCCTTATGGTGCAGGAGAGGTTTGGTAAGTGTTGGCTTTCTAATGAGGATTTTAATTCCCACAAACATGCATGTGAAACCTAGAGATTGGGTTTTTTTCATGGAGACGCCAGCCATGTTTATTTGGGTGTCCAAGTAAAAGGAAGGGTACAGTTATAAGTGGGTTACTATTAGGGAGATAGCACATTTAATAGCGTAATTTGGAAAAGGAGGTCATTTTTTCCTCTAAATGACCATAGCAGAATCATACCAAAAATATTTATCAGTTTCTCTCAGACCTGCTTGACAAATAAAAAAAGAAAACTTGCAGTTTTAATAGAACCAGTGAGTGCAGTACCTAGAGTGAATGTGGCATAAGAGACTTAGACCTGTTCTTTGATTTATATTTTCATGCACGTATGACTGAAAAGGGTTGTAAGATGTAACTTTGTATGCTGCACTATGGCTCATTAAATAGGTTTTCTAAGATAATGTTGACTGTCATTTTTTGGCTGTTTTGCTGAATTTGGACTCTAGCCCTAGCAGAAAATGAGACTTGAATAGTTAATCTGTCACCTACTTTGCTACATGGGCACTGCTTTTAAAAAAGACATTAATGGACTATTAGAGCTAATAAACCAGGTCGGCAGGGTTGCAGGATACAAATCAGTGTGCAAAGATCACTTGGATTTCTGTAGATTAACAATGAACAATCTAAAAATGAAAGTTAGAAAACCTTTTTGTTTACAGCAGCATCAAAAATTAAGTTCTTAGAAATAAATGTAAGAAAAGAAGTTCAAGTGTTTCATGCAGAGTACCACAAAACATCATTGAAAGACATTCTAAAAGACCTAAATAAGTGTAAAGACCTTCCATTTTCACTTTTTGGAAACAGTTTAATAGTATTACTGCCCAAGATCAGAACTGCCCAAGTGATCTGCATATTGAATGCAATCCCTTTCAAATCTTGCTTGGCTTCCTTATAGAAATGATAAGCTGATCCTAAAATTCGTAAGAAGTGCAAAGGGACTCAATTACCAAAACGATCTTGAAGAAGAAGAATAAAGTGAGACAACTCATACTTCCCAATTTCAGAACTTATTACAAAGCTATAATTATCCAAACTATGTGCTGGCATAAAGATGGAAGAATCAGTGCTCTAGAATTGAGAGTCCAGAAATGCACCCTTATGCTTGTGGTCAAGGGTGCCAAGACATGTCACTGGGGAAAAGCGGTCTTCAACAGATAGCGCTGGGACACCTAGATATCCAAATACAGGTGTATGAAGTTGGACCCCTCCCTACCGAATACACAAAAATTAGCTCAAAGTGTATCAAAGACCTAAATATAAGAGCTAGAATTATAAAACAGAACTCTTAGAAGACAATATAGGAATAGGTCTTCATGACCTTAGATTAGACAGTGGTTTCTTAGATATGACACCTAAAGCAGAAGCAACAGAAGAATCGATATGTTAAACGTTATCAGAATTAAAAGCTTTATTTCAAAGGACACCACCAAAATGAAGAACCACCTACAGAATGGGAGAAAATATTTGGAAATCTGTTTCTGATAAGGGTTTTGTATCTAGAATATATAAAGAACTCTTAAAATTCAGTAATATTAAAGACAGTCCAATTAAAAAATGGTCAAAGATAAAACAAATGGCTATTAAGTATGTGCAGTGGTGCTCAAGATCATTAACCCTGCTTCTCCCACTAGCAGATAAATAATCTTCCTTCCTTGCCCTTCTTACTCAAAGCTGTGATTTGTTGTTCTCTCATAAAGAGTACCATTCGTAGGATTATAATTTTAACATGATGTACCTGTCTGTCTTAAATTCTAGGTGCTTTTCCTGGAAAGGGTTAGTGGTTTTGAATGTGGTTAGGGAGCACATAGAGAATTGGGAGGATATAGAAGGTATAGGTCCTGTCTCTTCTGCTACATATTATTTGAAGCCAAGCAGGGGGAGTTGGTGTTATGTGTAGATACTTCTATTTCTTTCTTTTTCTTAGCACTGAGCACAGTGCTCAGCCAACAAGCTGTCATTAAATCGACTGTTAGAGCTGAGACTAGAGCTGACGCAGCCCTCAGTGCCTTTGGGCAATGACAGCCACGTCTCCCCTTATAATTTAATACCCACTTGATGCTTAACTGTTTCAGAGTGGTGGAGGGGAGACCATATTCTCCTGCTGTCACATATGTTCCTGATATCACAAATAAATAAAAGCTACTTACATAGACGCTGATTTTAAAGTGCAGTTCAGGCAAGATAAATTTATATTTAAAAGATCAGTAGTAAACACAGCTCTAAATTGAGGCAAACGAATCTCAAACGTTTATGCTAGGGAGTATTAGAATGGCACTCCGCCTGCTGTGTACCTTTCCTGGAATGTAAGTTGGCAGTGTGTATCAGGAGCTCTGATAGTCACGCCTTTTGGCCCCAACCTAAGTAGACAATCAAGAGGTCGCTAATCAAAAACCAATATATTCAACACTAGAGAAGTAGCTAAATAAAAGTTTGCACATCATTGATTTGGAATACCATGCACCGATTTAAAAAAAAGGTCTTAATAACTTAGGGAAAAGGTAGAAGTTATTAATCAGAAAACAAAACAATTAATTAGTATGATCTCAACTAAATATAAATCTATAGGAAATAGATTGGAAGGCACTATACCAATATACAAGGAGAGATTTCAGGGTCGCCTGTGGGCTGTAGCTTTTTGCCAGCTTGATTGTTTTTGCTTTTCTTGTGAAAAATAATTTTCTACAATAAACATTAATTTTTAAACTTGTTTTGTGGTAAATATATGTATAACATCAAACTTAGCATTTTGTTTTATATAGATTATAAGCATCTCATTTTTAACTGCCGTTCGATGGCATTAAGTAGGTTTACATTGACGTTGTTGTGAAATGATCACCACCATTCATTTCCAGAACTTTTTTATCTTCTCAACTCTACCCTTTAAAAACTAACTCCCTGTATCTTCCTTCTCCTATCCCTTGGCAACCAGCATTTTACTTTCTGTCTCTCTGGATTTGACTATTCTAAGAACCTCATAAAGTAGAATCATACCGTAGTTGTCTTTTTGTGACTGGCTTATTTCACGTAGGAAAATGTCTTCAAGCTTCACCCATGTTGTAGCATGTGTTAAACTTCCTCCCTTTTCAAGGCTGAAAAATATTCCATAATATTGGATATACCACTCTTTGTTTACCCATGCATTTGTTAATAAGACACTTGGGGTGCTTCTACCTTTTAGCTGTTGTGAATAATGCTGCTACAAATACTGAAGTTCAAGTCCCTGCTTTCACTTTTGGCTTAAGTACTCGGGGGTGGAATTGATAGATCTTACGTAATTCTGTGTTTAGTTTCTTGGGAAATTGTTGCACAGCTTTCCACAGTGACTACACCCTTTTACACTAAGTGTTCGAAGTTTAGGGGGATATAATTTCAAACTGAGAGAAATTTTAAGACTAACAGGAGGAATTCCCATATACCCTTTAAAGAGATTCACCAACTGCTTACATTTTGCCCCATTTTAAAAATCATTTTTTCTCTCTCAAGCAACATACACACATATATATACATATTTATTGTGAGGGCATAATATTTTTGAACCTTTTGAGAAAGTTGAAGACATTATGTTTCTTTACCACTAAATATGTTGGTGTATTTCCTAAGAACGAGGATATTCTGTCATATAACCATGATGCAATTACTAAAATCAGGAAACTGGACATGAATGTAATGCTCATACTATGTTTTCTGTCTTGAAAAAATTTTTTTATTGAGGTACATTTGACTTATGCTCATGCTATTATGTTTTATATCAGAGAGTAAAAGCAATTGGGATGAGCTGATTTGAGGCCATCTAGCTGTGTGCATTAAACACTGAAATAGGCATTAATTTGGGCTTATGTTTTTAAAGGGAGAAGTTTGTTGGAACTTGGAGGAAACAATGCCATCATAGGTAAGGCTGCCCTTTTTTGTTTGTTTTCTGTTCGGAATCTCTTTAATAGCCATTCTGAATGTTTAGAACTTGTGTAAGAACTCACGCCTTTGATGTTGTCTTTGAGATCCCATTCCTGTGGAACAGGACACAGTGGTTTGAAGCAGAGACAACTTGGAGGGAAAGGTGGTCATGTTTGGAAACTGTTACCTGGGGCTTAAAACTTGTGTATGAGACTTCCTAGTGTGGCATTGTTTCTTGTTTTTCCTTCTCCTATTTTTTGAAAACTGGCCACGTGTTTAGAATAAATAACTCTTACACGACCTGCTAGTTCCAAAAATATTAGTTTGTCTTTAGTAGAGTATTGAGTACTTTTATATTGGAAAACAACACTTCCTTAAGGCATTTTATCATTTACCTATAGTCTTGGAGATTATTTCGTTCTCTTTTTCAATTGTTTGGCACAAAAGGAAATAGTCTACCAGCAAAACTTCTGGATAATATAGTGAACACCAGTAGGTTGAGACTTCATAGAATTGTGGATTTTGTAGTAAAACAGAAAAACTTGGTGGGGGGAGGGTGTAGCTCAAGTGGTAGAGCTCATGCTTAGCATACACAAGATCCTGGGTTTAATCCCCAGTACTTCTTCTAAAAATAAATAAGTAAAACTAACTACCCCCCCCAAATAAAATAAATTAATTAAATTTAAATTTTTTTTTAATTAAAAAAAAAGGAAAAAACTTGTTAGTTGTATATTGCCATCAGTATCACCAGAAATTTTAAGAGTGCATAATGAAGGGTTTGTTTTGGATGAACTTCTAATCTTGTGGAAGAGAGAGTTGATTTAAAAAATACACTTCGTATTTACTGATCAGTGGGTAATTACCAGGTACTGTGCTCAGCTGTTTTATAGGCAGTGTATCCCCACAAAAATCCCATGAAGCAGATAACATTAATAATCTCATTTAAAGGTTACACTCTGAAGTTTAAAATGATATGGACCTGAAGTGACAGGCTAGCGAGTGACAGAGCCGGCATTTGCATCCTGGTCATCAGACCACAGAGCACAGCTCTTTCCCTGACTCCTTACTGCCATCCATTAATACCCCCAGATATTATCCCATTTTATGGATAAGAAAACTTGAGGCTTAAGAAGGTAAAATAACACAACTAAAAAGTGGTGAGGATGGATAAGAACCCTAGTCTGCTGTACAAACCACCTTCTTAACCATCATACTGGTCTGAGAATGCTGTTAGATTAAACAGGGGAAAATGGAAGATGTAAGAGGGAACTGGGACTGTATGCTTCTGGAAGGGATAGGAAACATTAGAACTCATACAGTGGATCAGTGGAAAGGTTAACCTTGTAAACACTGTGGGCAGAAGAGGGGAAAGAAGGAATAGACCAAAGTAGAGAGGAATCTGAAAGCGATGTTTGCATTGATCTCTTCATAACTGCAGAGGAAGCAGAAAAGGGCCTTATGTGTGATCACTTTGAGATTTTCCACAAAGTAGAGGATGAGGTCATCTGGTGCAGTAGTAAAGAGCTTGAAGGGTTTCAGAGATTGGAAGAAGCTCCTGGAGAGGGGGCAGCAGGAGGCATTGAAGGGAATGGATTGTGCAGGTGAGGGTGTTGATGTTGTTAGAGAGCTTGGCTTGATGGCAGTGATAAATCAGAAGGGTCCCATTGCTCTCTGTGGGCCCCAGGAAGCTGCTGTCTAAATGGGCCATGGGGTTGAGGTGGAAAGCAAGTGAAACTGCCAGAGACATGGTGGTCTTCGAGAAGAGACCACAGGAGGGTGCAGTGGAAGCTTAGTGAGTATCAGACACTTGGAGACAGGAAAGAAGAGGAGGCCAGAGGAGGGAGAGCTCATTGCTCTGTTCTCATCATTTCCCCTGGGAGAAGAGTTGCCTCTGCGGTGTGAACCTGCTTATTTTACAGGATACTTCTGATGTTCTCTCGCTGCACTTGCCAAAGGCGTCGTCTTAGAGCAGTTAGAAGGGTGCCTTGTCTGCCTTCTTCATGACACTGATGAGTGTGTTTGTGCTTCCCTAAGCTTTTGAGGATGCGGACCTCAGCTTAGTCGTTCCCTCAGCTCTGTTTGCGGCCGTGGGGACAGCCGGCCAGAGGTGTACCACTGCGAGGCGCCTGGTGAGTGTGGCTGCGTGGGCACACTGTCCTCTTCAAACACCACTTTTTAAGGCATCGTACTGTTACAGAGATGTCGTAGAAACGCTGCTGGAAACATGTATTCCCTGGACGTGGTTGGCATGTATGTGGCCCTGCTGCTCTGTCCTGTGCTCAGGGCGGGCACTGCTGGTCAGCTGGGACTCTGCCCTACCTCCTCCCGGAGCTGAAAGTTGTCCCGCCCTCAGTGACTGGAGTTGGACTTGGGAGATGAGACGTATTGTCAGCCTTATACCTACAACAAGGTGGACAAAGTCCCACGTCACTTAGAATAAAACAAGCTAAAAATTTGAAAAATTCAAAACAATTAGCTACTGGATAGGCAGTCTTGGCTTTTTTCTAAAACCATTTTAAGTAGTAAAATATTTTAAAATTTTTGATTTTTGGTTTATAAGTCAAGTCTTAATTTGACTTGATGTGACATGATTTATTGAAAAGTAAATGTATGTGTGTTCTCTCTATAAATGTATAGTCCGTACCCATATACAGAGGATGTGTTAATATTGAGTGCATATGATGAGAGTGATTTAGCATCAGCGTTTGGGGTTTGGGATGTTTAGTCTCCACATTTAGATTTGAGCTGGATTTTAGTTTTTGTGTGGGATACAACCTTGACTCTCATGTCTCTTATGCTACTGGAAAACTATGTGAACTACAAGCAAGTTTTGATAAAAAATTTGGCTATGTTTGCCTTTTTAAAAATTATTATTGTTGAGTTTTCCTCCTGTAATTAAAAACACATTTTACAATTGAATTATAGAGGAATTGTCTTTGGGTTTTTCCTGTCACCCACAATGAGTAAGAACAAAATTTTACTATGGTTGACATAGTCTAAATTAATTAGAGTAAGGTAAGTGGTAAAGGGAAGTTGTCTTTAATTTGCACATAACTTTTCACATTCACATTTTCCTATATTTTACAATGAATGAACATCAGTCTTTCCTTTGTTCTATCAGTTGAACCTCAAAAAAAAAATCTAAGTTACAGGCTCCATAAAGTATTTATAATTTATTAAATTTGTTCACCTTAACATTTATTCCATTAATGCTAAAAAGGAAACGGGGTACTCCAAAAGATTATAATCTTAATTGCATGGTAAACTATGAAATGACATAAAAATCAAACATTTCTTTATTTGGTCAACTTTTATTTTTCCTTTGTGTCCTGGAACAAATACACATAGCCATGCTTTGTATTTAGTGTTCAGTATTAGGGGATACTATTAGTCATGGCCCAGATCAGTTTCTGCAGGGACAGTAGTGTTATAGGGGGAAACCCATTCTGGTGCTACGGACTTTTCCGTGATTGGTAGTTGGCCCTCCGTATCCATGGTTCTTCCAATGTCAGCAGGTTCAGCCAACTGGGAACCGTGTAGTACTGCAGCATTTACTCTTCAGAAATATTTTTATACAGGTAGACCCATGTAGTTCAGACCTATGTTGTTCAAGGGTCAACTGTATAAATCAGTACTATTAAGAAAAATTGTACATTGTTAATTTTGTATGTTTATATGTAGTATTTATAGTACATTTATATGCAGTAATCCCTTGAATGTTTGTTTTTTCATTTAGTTTTTACAAGAAAGCATCCATGATGAAGTTGTTAATAGACTTAAAAAGGCCTACGCACAGATCCGTGTCGGGAACCCATTGGACTGTGAGTATCTGGTTGATTTCAGAGATGTTCCTTTTTGACAGCTGGTGTTACAAGTGTTTCTGATTTTCTGCTTCTGTTTTTCTCCCCTTTACTGAGAGGCCGGAAGGAATAAAGCAGGTTATTGGGCATCTGGGGAGTCATGTCTACTGTTAGATTAGGATATGAGTGCTTGATGTGGGCTAGTGGGTGAGCCTGGGGGACGGTGTTGAGATGGGATGGGTTTGACGAGCTTTTCCCCTCGTCCAAGCACCACCATCTTGCCCCAGGCAAGGCTGCAGGAGTCGCCTGCCTGACTTCTGCTTCCACTTCCTTCCACTCACTTCTGCCTTTCACAGTAACCAAAATGTAATTTGATAATTCACTCTCCTGTTTAAAGCACTCCAGTGACTTCTCATTGCTCTTCAGTTAAAACCTGGATTTTTCCTGAGACCCTTAGCAAATGCACAATCTTCCATGATCTGACCTCGGCTGCCTCCTCAACCACCTACCGTCTGTGTACCATTTGCCCTGTTGCTCCCTGAGCATGCCAGCTTCTCCAGCCTTCTTTCGGTGCTTGAGCGTTCCAGGCTCTGCCCTGCTGGAAATGCTCTTTGTCCAGCAGTTCCCACCTTGTCACTGAGGCCTACCTATGTTCCTTCTTCCTCTGTCCCTTTTCATGCTCTGGCTTCTGGCCGCCACAGAGGGCAACCTTATCTTCCGCCCCTTAAATTGTGCACTGACTGCTGAGCCTGTGAAGTCTTGGTGAATGAGCACCGCTGTAATGATAAGCAGGGCCTATGTTTTTACTGCAGTGTTCTGATGAATTGCTGGCCCTTTCCCTGGATTTGGCCCTCCCTGTTTCTGTATCAGGACACAGCCACACCAGCTTTTTTGTGTCTTCTGTGGCTGCTTTTATACCACATTGGCAGAGTTGAGTGGTCATGGCAGAGACCACATATGTTGTGCAAAGCATTAAATATTTCCTATCTGGCTCTTTGCAGGGAAAAGGTGCTGACTTCTCTAAACATAAGAGGATATATGAGGGACTGGTCTGTTCATTGGGAAAGCTGTTATAGTCATAAAATGATGCCGTTTATGGTGAAGTGAAGAGCATTCCTTTTTCTCTCCAGCTAATGTTCTCTATGGGCCGCTCCACACCAAACAGGCAGTGAGCATGTTTCTTGGAGCAGTGGAGGAAGCAAAGAAAGAAGGTGGCACAGTGGTCTATGGTGGCAAGGTAATGTCAACTCGAGATGGGGAGTGACAGCTTTTACTTTCCCTTTCACACAAGCAGGGCTCTGGGTAAATTGGTGAAGGGTCCCCAACTGTCATTTTGATTTCCTCCATCCCTTTTATAATGGGAAAGTACATGTTTTAAAGAATGGCAACATAAAATGCCTGGAACATTACTGAAGGACACACACTGAAAGTCTAGTTGCCTTTGTATTCAGTCCCTGGGAATTTGAATGGAAGGGAGACCTCCTTTTCATGGGCAGTAGAAGACTGTATTTAGGGCAATTTAAAAAATCCGTATTTAGTTATGATTTATAAAAGTCATCTAAGGCAGAGAATCAAAAAAATATATACCCCAAACATTGTAATTTAACACATATTACTATTATTGATGAAAATTAATCTGTCTATCTAAGAAAGAAATGGAAAATTTTATTCGAGTCACATTTGAGGATTGTAACGTGGGAACAGCATCTCAGAAGGCTCTGAGAACCATTCCATCTGTTGGGAGTCAAGGCACAGTTTTATAAGTTTTTTGAGACAGAGGGCTGTGCATTAAATGACAAATTATTGATAGGTTACACAATCCAGATCTAAGAGTCATCATGGCCTCTTGAAGATCAAGAAGGAATGTTATCTTCTAAGGAGTTGTCTTGTTGATGGTAGGAGAGTGTTGCTTTTTATGGTTGAGCGGGTGTTCTGCCCACAGGGGAGGTTTGGTCGATGGGTGATGCAGACACACAACGCACAGTGAGGGGAGAGAGGAGGCCAAAGGGCGGAGAGATTTTTTTGTTTAAATTTTTCTTGTCTTGCCATAAAATATGGATTTTATTTCACACTATATTTGTTTGAATCTTCAGATGTTGTTCCAAGGTGTTTTCTTCATGTATAGTAGGAACTTATCTTCATCCTTGAATAAGCTATGCTTGTAATTTATTATCTACATTTTATTTTCACTTTCTTTAAAAATCGCTGAGAACTGAGTCTCTTACAAAGCTCTTTGAGGGCAGAATCCTTCTCCCTCGTCTCTTAACATTGACACACCCACATCTCATTGGATAGAGTTGTATATGCGTATTTGTATCTCTTATAACTTACACTGAGTTTTTTTTAAGTATTTAACGTAATCTTCAGAAGTAGCTCTTTGTGTAATATTTACTTATTTACATAATACAATACGGTATTATAATAAGTACAGATGACTCTTGGTAAATATTACAGCTCAGAGGGTGGGAGCAGGATTTCACAGCATGCTGGAGAGTTGACCGCCAGCTAAGCAGCTTGCGGCAGGCAGGCGGCAGAATATTTTATAGAAGGAAAAGTGCGTGTTAGTTGAGTGGAGGTGAACTAGTAATTTGGTTATGTGGAGGTTAGTTAGAAGTGTGGAGCTTTTGATTTCTATATTAATGCATATTAGTTTGCTAGAGCTGTCATAACAAAATATCACAGACTGGGTGGCTTAAACAACAGAAATTTATTGTCTCACTGTTTGGAGCCTGAGTCAGAAATCAGGGTGCTGGCGGTGTTGGTTCCTGGTGAGACATCTCTCCCTGGCTTGCAGATGACCACCTTCTGTTAGTGTTCTGACATGGTCTTTCCTTCCTGCACAGAGAGCCCCAGTGTCTCTTTCTCTTCTAGTGAAGACATGGGTTCTGTCTGATAGGGCACTACCCACATGACCTCGTTTAACTTTGATCACCTCCTTAAAGGTTCTGTCTCCAAACTGAGTCATACGGGATAGGGTGGGAGGGGTGGCAGTGTGTTAAGGCTTCAGTATATAAATCTGGTGGGGGAGGAGTGGTCTGGGCACAATACAGTCTGTAACGCAGTAAGTATAGATTACCTCTTTTTAAATTATGTAAATTTAAAAATAACTGCCTGTAACAGTGTTTTTTCAGTGTAACTTGGTCATAAGCCATGACACAGATCTCTATCCTTGTCTCCTTATTTCAGCTTTTTTCTGAGCAACTAAGTTAGAACCAATAGGAGGCAGAGAAAATTTTCACTGATGTTGGGAAGTTATTTTTTAGAAATAGTTCACTTGTAAATGGTGTTTATTTGTTTCTCGAAGGTATAGGCAGAGATTGTATCCTCTGACCCCAAGTACCAGAAGACGAATGCCCTCACTGGTTTTATTTCCTTTCCCTACTGCAGGTTATGGACCGCCCTGGAAACTATGTAGAGCCAACAATTGTGACAGGTCTTGACCACAGTGCGCGCATTGCACACACAGAGACTTTTGCCCCGATTCTTTATGTCTTTAAATTCAAGGTAAAAAATGGATTCTGTCTCTCTTTCCTCTAGTTTAATGTTGAAGCAAATGAGAGGACTAGGAGAAAATGAAGATGTATTAAATTTCACTCAATTAGCCATTAAGGAGGTATGAGAAAGTCACTCGGGTTAGTAGAGATTTTTGAAGGTTAAGGAAAAACGATCATGAGATGAACACTTTAAACAGTAGAGCCTGTCAAGCCAGCTGCCAGGGGAATTGAGACAAGCAGAGAGCCAGCATTGGAATTTATGGTGGGTGTGGCCCTCATCCCCTGTGTCACATGATGCTGAGCTGTGTGGGCTATGAAGTCAGCTTCTTCACAAAAGGAATCAGATAGTTTGATAGTCTGAGTGCTCAGTAGCAGTGCAGAAAATGAGGAGATACAGGGGCAATCAACAGACCTACAGTTACAACCTGTCAGAGGACAGGCTGCGGAGGTTTTAACAGATAAAGGTACCTAGAGGGTCTCCCCCCCAGCATGTGACAGGCCCTTGTCATTACTAGCAGATACTTAGAGATTGAATCAAGGCCTGACTGCACCATGATTAACAGTTAAGAGATAATGAGACTTAAAAACACCTTGTTGCAATTATATGATTGCATTGATTAAAATCTTGCTTTAAATTGTCTATCATTGTTTTACATGTGACTAGAGAATATAATTTCATGTTTTGCGATGTGTCTGTGTGTTTGACTGAGTTCCTGAGCAGAATATTTAGCCTCTCTTACCTAATCTGTCAACCAGGGATAATGTAGAACCCTTGTCATTGGGTGAGGATTAAATAACTAAATGCAGGCTAAGTGTCTAGGTCAGTGTGCTGGACATAGTAAGAGCTCAGTAGATAGTAGCTCTTACAAGTAGTGGCCTGAATGGAAGAATGGACTCAGATGTTTTTCTCAAAGTTCACATAAGGGGAAAATCCCACAAAGCACTGTGTAAGAGAAACATAGAATTAGGAAGCTGTTCACTCTTTAGTTTCCTTTTGTGCACTGAAATCATACTGCTAAGTCTCACAAAATGAGTTTACCTTCAGTGAACTTGGACCTGAACACTGTGTATCATCTAACAGCTTCCAATGTCTGTCCTTTTAGAATGAAGATGAGGTCTTTGTGTGGAATAACGAAGTCAAACAGGGACTTTCAAGTAGCATCTTTACCAAGGATTTGGGCAGAATCTTCCGCTGGCTTGGGTATAACTTTGTGTATTTTGAAAACTTACATAAGTCTGTTTTCTGTGTTGATTGAACTTTAAAAAAGAAAATGAAACCACTTAGGTGAAAATCTGTTTTTCAACATTGAGAGTCCTAGAGGTTTGTCTGGATTATTCATTTTTGTATATTTGTTGTATTTTTTTACTTTCCTATACTTTGCTCTCACTGTGCCTCCCTTTTCACACACAGACCAAAAGGATCAGACTGTGGCATTGTAAACGTCAACATTCCAACAAGTGGGGCTGAGATTGGAGGTGCATTTGGTATGTAGAGAATTGCTTCTCCTTTCCCACGTTGGGCGGTGTATTAGTCTGCTAGGTTCCCACGTTGGGCGGTGTATTAGTCTGCTAGGTTCCCACGTTGGGCGGTGTATTAGTCTGCTAGGTGTATGGTCTATTAGGGTTGCTGCAACAACATACCAGTGGCTTAAACAACAGAAATGTATTATCTCCCAGTTACGGAGGCTGGAAGTCCAAGATCAAGGTGTTGGCAGGTTTGGTTCCTCCTGAGGCTTCTGTTCCTGCCTTGTAAGTGGCTGCCTTCCTCCCACGTCCTCATATGGCCTTCTCTCTGGGCACATACACCCCTGGTGTCTCTTTTTCTTCTTACAAGGACATTAGTCCTGTTGGTTTAAAACCCTACCCTAATGACTTCATTTAACCTTAATTACCTCCTTAAAGGCCCTGTTGCCAAGTATAGCCACATTCTAAGGTATTTGGAGGTTAGGCCTTCAACCTATGAAATTGTGGGCAGGGAGGACACACAATTTAGTCCATAACAGGCAGCAAAGAAAAAGTAGTAGTAGCTTTTAGAAAACTTGGACCAAGAAATGAAATAATATTTCATTATTATATAATATCTGGTCTAACATGCGTGAGAGAGCTTGTGCTCCGTATTCAGAGTCACTGTCCAAGGTCCTCTGTTTCATTCTCAGATGCAGCGTCATGTTAGAGCAGGGCCCCCAACCTGAGATATGTGAACCCCTGAAATGGGGGCATGTTTTCTTGGGAGAGGATCCAAGACCCAAAAAGAGCTTAAGAGCCCCTGCTTTAAAGCCAGAAAATTTCACATGAAAAATTTGCAAAGTGGGTTTAGTAAATATTATACATTATCATTTGTCTTAGAAAAAAATGCCAGGTTGTTTTCATTAGGCCTTGTTCCTCTTTTAATAAGCGTTGAGCTTTTAATGCTTCAACTCAATACTAACAGTATTTTTTTTTTTACAAAAGCTTTTGCCAACAATCATGTATTAACTTTTACTTATTAAAAATAATCCCAAACACTGAAAAAAACAGAAAGCACTGATGTAAAAAGATGCACTCCATTGTTCACAGCAGCATTATTTACAGTTCTCAAGATAAGGAAGCAACCTAAGTGTCCATCAACAAATGAAAGGATAAAGATGATGTACATGTATACAATGGAATATTACTTAGCCATAAAAAAGAATGAAAAACTCCCATTTGCAACAGGATGGGTAGAATTGGAGGGTATTATGCTAAGTGCAATAAATCAGAAAGACAAATACTGTGTGATATCACTTACATGTGGAATCTAAAAAGTAAAACAAACTAGTGAATATTAACAAGAAGGAAACAGACTCCCAGGTACAGAAAACGAATTAGTGGTTATTTTAGGAGAGAGGGAAGAGGGGAGAGGCAAGGTGGGGTATGGGGTTGAGAGATACAAACTATTATGTATAAAATAAACAAGCTACGAGGATATACAACACAGGGCATATGGCCAATAATTTATAATGACTATAAATGGAGTATAACCTTTAAACAGTGTGGATCATTATATTGTATGCCTGTAACTTGTAATATTGTACATAATCTATACCTCAAAAAAATGCAAAGGATAGTAAAAACATATTGCCGTATATATATATATACTCACATATACACACACAAGCAAAACAACATAAATTGATACCTATAGAAGTTTAAATCATTTGAGGCATTCTTGTACACATTTTGGGGCAAGTACTACAATTAGTATTGGGTGCAGACTTTGGTAAAAGTTCCTGGTTTCAGTTCGGCCCTTCACCTCCGCCCTGCACTGCTGAGTGAGCGTCTGCTCCTTCTGTATGCCTTCAAGTCCCTGTTTCCACCCATTTCTTCTGACTCTTGAGTTCAGCCTTGACAGTTAACTTTTAAAGTTTTAAAGTCTTCTATTGGAGAAAAGCAGATGTGCCCCACATTTTCCTCTTCCTCCTTCTTTTCCTGTGAGTTTCTTACTAAAGGAAAAAGGAAAAACTGAATTTAAAGTAATGTGCTTTAACTGCTCTCTCTTTCACAACTTTAGATGCGTACTGACCCTCTGTTACTGTAGCTTAAGCTTCTTAAACCCCTCTTGACTCTTTCCCTACTGGTAAGAAAGATGTTATTGCACAGGGTGAGATCTAGAGGAGACCAGGTGCAAGGTTCTAAGTCTTGGCCCAGTGGAGTCACACAAGCTGTGCTTAATTCTTCCAGCATCAGACTGTGACAACGTATGTGAGATGCTGTTTCCCAGGAAAGCAGAGACTCGGTGCTCAAGGCTTTTCTGTGAAGCTGGTCACGCCGGCACCCTCTGCCTAGCACATATCCAAATTCCAGGCTCCCAAAAGGAAAGTGGGCTTTTAACATAAACCACATTTTTTGTTCAAAACCAGTTTAGGCTCATTGAGACAGTGTAGGGAACTGTTCAGACAAGTTCCCAAATGCCAGCAACATTTTGGGGTTCCTGCTATGCCTTTTCTGCACGGTTTGTAATTTCTCTCAGACTTTTGGAGGTATTGCCTATCTTCTGACTTCTAGTACTGTGGTTGAAAAGCGTAATCCACTTTGATAGCTGATCTTTTTTTACCCTCTTTCAAAAATTTTTGTGTCTATTATTTACGTCTCGTATTCTCAAATTCCATTATAATATGCCTCAGTGGAGATCTTCATAAAAAGTTTTGTTTAACAGTCAGTGGGCCAGAAATTGGCCTTAGAATATTAGGGCTTAGGGTTTTCAGTTCTGGGAAGTTTTTGATAGTTTTATTTTGTTTTCCTAGTGTTTCTTTGACAGTTTTTTCTCTTTAATTTTTGTCTGTTTTAATTTCTAGAACTCCTATTATTTGAATGTTATCTCTGGAAGACTTAATCTAATTTTGTTTTTTTTTTCCTCTTATTTGCCTTTAAAAAATTTTTTTTTAATCTTTTTTTTTTTTTATGTGGGACATTTCCTCAAGCTTCTAATTCTTCTATTAAGTTTTTTTACCTCTTCTTTTACTGAACACAGTATCAGGGGGTGGATATAGCTCAATGGTAGAGCACATGCTAAGCATGCATGAGGTCCCAGGTTCAATTCCCAGCACCTCTATTGAAAGAAGAGCAACAACAAAAAAAAATGGTATGAAGTGAGCATTGATGGCACACTTCTTTTCTTGTTTTATGGAATCGTTATCTTCTATAACCTCTTTAAAGATAGTAATATAACATTGAAAAATACTTAATATAAAATCAGCTTATGTATATTGTAGAAAATTATATATACATAAGCATAAATGAGAAAATAAAATTACATTTCTCCTATCCACTCCTAACACCTTGGTCTAATGGTAAGGTTTTTTTAAGGTTTTCTTCTGCTTCCTGCCATATCTGTTTCTTAATTCCTTTAATTTCCCCTCTTAGTTTCCTTTTTCCTGTTTGTTTTGGTGTCTGTCTCATATTTGTTTGCAGGGGAGATATTCTGGCTACATGTAAGGTGACTGGCCAGCTGGCTCTGGTCTCCTTCTGGTATCTTCGTTTCGGTGATACTGACTAGGAGCCCCCACAGAGACGCCGCCCAAGATTCACGAGCTGCTTCTGTGTTTCTCTAGGAGGAGAAAAGCACACTGGCGGTGGCAGGGAGTCCGGTAGTGATGCCTGGAAACAGTACATGAGAAGATCTACTTGGTAAGAAAAGGCTTTGGGAAAATTGGTTCAGCCTTAACGCTTCTGGAACGTGCTTTTACACTCTTGGACTTTGTGCTCTGTCTTCATGCAGTATGACTTGATTTTGTTTCTAACATTCCACAGTTCTTTCTTCCCAAAGCATCCATTTGATACTGATAATTCCCTACTCTTCTTTGTCCAGCTTCAGCTAGTGCCCAGCGTCAGATGGTGAAACCATCCTGGGATGGTTTCTGTCTAGAGAGAGGGCAGGAGCAGGACTCTTGGGTCCACCAGCAGGAGAAAGTGGAAGAGGCTGTCCTTTGAGTTTTCCCCTTAGGTGCGGTTACCAGCCCTGCAGACTGCAGAGGCAGTAGGACATGGACGTGGGCAGGTGGCCCGTGGGCCTGGCTCACAAGCTGGGGGTTAACAGCTCTGGGAATAGTGAGCACGAGCCTTGGGAGTGGAGTAGCACATTCACCCAGCACAGGCGTAGCTGGGAGGTTTTGACTAGGAGTATTTTCTTTGACCTGTGTTCTGTTGTCCCTGCCTGTTGGGTAGAAGTAGCTTTATCCAAGTGCAATAAATGGTACGTGGGGTAAGGCCCACGTGGTGGTATGTTGTAGAAAGAGCACAGTGCGGATCCCAGGACACCGTCTTAGTCCTATTTCCTGCTTCTCACTGGCTGTGGAACCTCGGGTGGATTTCTCCACCTTAGCTCCTATCCCCTCAGCAACTTCACATTTGCCAGGAATTTTTTTCCCCCTCCAGCTTTATTGAGGTATAATTGATAAATAAAATTGTAATATATTGAAAGTCAGCCACCTGATGATTTGACATAGGCATACATTGTGAAAAGATTCCACAATCCGGTTAGTACACCCTTCACCTCACAACGGGGGTGTGTGTGTGTGTGTGTGTGTGTGTGTGTGTGTGTGTAGTAAGA